GAAGATGAAAGTTAAGACATGTTGGATTAAGAGATCAGCTAATTCCCTAGCTGACGGTTTAGCAAAACAAGGGGCAGAAAGGGATTCCTTGTTTTGGGCTARGTTGTAATGKTARTGTCCTTRTATCTTTGYAWTWTCTTCTTTCCTTTCTTGAAGTTCTTTGTGACTCTTGGAATATAAGTGTGTTTGTCTTCCACTTGTAAATTTCTACTAATGAATTAATGAAAGTGTTATTGATCAAAAAAAAAAAAGTAATGAAATACTTATATCCAGTCTCAGAAGGTAGAGTAACAGGGCCCCAAACATCAAAATAGACAATATGAAAAGGAAATTCATATCATTTATTTCTTAAAGGAAAAGAATTTCTACAATGTTTGCTCAATTAACATGTCTGACACTGCAACTCACTAACTGACAGAAACTTAAATAACACAGGAAGCATAAGTTTTAAAGACTCAAACGAAAGATGACCAAAACAAATAGGCATGACTCTCATTAGATGAACTTAAGGACTCTGTAGCCACAAGACCAGCTTTATTCCCTAACATGTAAAGACCATCCACCATGCTTCCCCTACCAATCGTCTTCCCTGAGGCTAAATCCTGAAACACACACGACGGAAAAAAGGTCACTGAACAATTCAAGGAGTGAGTAATACTGCTAATGGAAAGTAAATTGATTGGTAATTTAGGAACATGCAACACATTAGAGAGGACCGAGAGGAAGGGAGATGGTTCCTTGACCAGCTATGGTGGAAAATGACCCATCACCCAGTCTCACCTTATCTCTCCCAGAGAGGAGGTTATATGCCCCAAATAAATTTGACTTACTAGTCATGTGGTTTGAGGCTCCAGAGTCAATTATCCAAGGGGAATCAGATGTATGAAATGACACATGGAAAGCAATGGCAGTGTTACCAGATGTAGACGCAAAGGAGGTAGGAGTAGGGCCATAATCCATCTGGCAAAGTGTCCTACCATATAATTCCAAGTGGTCATGAAAGGAGTTGATGATCTCTTCCTTGGGGTCAGAACCAGAGTGTCACTCCTGGGGTACCATGGGACTAATCTCTTGAGATGCCAAATTTGTTGAGTTATATTTCTTCTGACTCTACTGAGTTGGCTTCTTACTTGGATCGGATACCGATTTCTTACTCAATTCCTGAGCTCATTTAGGCTTGCCATGAAGATCCCAACAAGTGTCTCTAGTGTGCTTGGACTTCTAACAGTGAGTGCACCAAAGCTTGTCTTTGTCATCTACTCTCTTCTGTGAATCACCCTTTTTAAAAGAACCTCCAACATTTAAATTTGTACTCCCTCGAACAGCTAGTGCAATCGGCTCCCCCTCTGTACAATTTATCACATTTCTTCTACTCTTTTCAAACTGGACTAAGGCATAAACTTCTTGAACTAAAGGCAAGTTCTTGCTTCCTAAGATTTGTACCCTCATGGATTCATATGTAAGATTCAGCGCCAAAAGAAAAGCAAATATCCGTTGTTGGGAAACAAGTGACTTGTAAGCCTTTGCATCTTCATCACACTTCCAATTCACATTTTGATAATAATCCAGTTCCTTCCAAATTGATGTCAAATCTGAGTAGTACACCGAGAGACTCCTCTTCCACTGCTTGCAAGTGGAGGATTCAGCTTATAATTAATATATTTTTGCATAACGCCTCTGCTCTGAATAGGTAGATTTGGCTTGTTCCCATATTTCACAAGCTGTTTCAGCCCACATAAATGTCTTCCTTACTTGTGGCAGCATGGAAACCAAGAATCATGACATCACCATACTATTTTCTTGGTCCCATCTGTCATGTTCAGCACTACCAGTCTTTGGTTCCTTCACTTTAGCATTAATATACCCTATTTTCCCTCTAACAGTAATGTAAAGTTTAATTCCCCTAGACCATTCAAGGTAGTTTAGTCCATCAAAGGGGATTACAGCCATGGGGAAACTCATATCCATCCCCCCACTCATTCCATTTTGACCTCCTGAAATTCCAAAAGTTGCTGAATTCTCAGAGGACATGATTCAAACACTTTTCAGATCCTACACACACCTTATGATCCCTCTTGACACCAAAAAACAGTCCTAGAAACACACCAAAGGTGCAGCCCACATGCACACATTGCAATCTGGACACAATCTGAATGCAGACCAGCTTTGATTGTCCAAAAAGAACAAGATTTTAGGTTGATTTCAGTGCTATATTGCCCTAACAGTCACACTCCACCAACTTCCAGACCATCCAAACACATCGGCTACCAGGAGGAGTCATAAAACAGTACCGTCACACCACGAAGGTTAAAAAACAGGCCATCCACAATTTATAGGTCTTGTATTTTCAGGTATGGGATCACACGATCCATAAAAAAGAGGTTATAACCTCACAACTTCTCTGACAGCATTCAGCAGTCTTGATTCATTTGTTTTTTCTTGGTACACGACCAAGAGAAAAGAAAAAAGGTAATAGAACAAGTTTGTATCAGTCGTAGGCCAGTCTTTCTGATCTCAGTTGAAGAAGGCAGCAAGATAAGGAAGAGAGAACTTGTTCAATCTTCTCTCAGACCTAGTAGAAACGAAGAGAAAAGAAAAAAGGTAATAGAACAAATTTGTACCAGTCGTAGGTCAGTCTCTCTGATCTCAGTTGAAGAAGACAGCAAGATAAGGAAGAGAGAACTTGTTCGATCTTCTCTCAGACCTAGTAGAACCGCTCTGATACCACATTAACAGAAGAAGAGAGGAGAAATAAGGAAGAAGAGAAGGGAGAGAGAGGAGATATGAGAAAAGAGAAGAGAAAGGTTTTGGAGTCAACTTACTGACTGGCGGTGCGACCCTTATGCCCCTACTTAAGTTAGAGTACATAAACAATGAAAAAAAAACTATTTTAACCAGACCAAACAGACCCTAACTCAGCAGAATACAAACATAAAAAATAAAATAAGCATTCCAACAAATATAATAGTAGATGTCATATCCTTATTTTTTTATTTTTCTCAGGTCCTCCCTCTTTTTTCCCTTCTCTTCCAGGAAGACAAGTGATATCTCACGTAAATAGAAGCTTACTTGGAAAAAGCAACTAGCATTAATGATTTATAATATAATGACCCAAACAAAGAGAGATTGATAAACAGAAGCTAACCTGGCTGTAGCATTCAATTGCAGCTCTGAAATCCTTGTGTCGGAAAGCAGCATCACCCTTTTTCTTCGAGTTCAACGTCTCTTGTATTTGGTTGGTCCACATTTGGAATGATAACTGTTAATTAAAAATAAAAATTGAGGCACAAAAATATCAAAACTTTTCTAAATCTAACATAATACAGGCTTCAAATATACAAGTATTATGTTTTAATATTCTAGACAGAGGAGATTGGCCAGTTGGGCTTGACTGAATAGAAAATTGGATGTGAACCATTCACAGTTGACAAACAATAAAATACAAGAGAAAAATGAGAATGAAAATGAGATGCATACATGTCCAAGTTACAAATTATGAATCTGAATATGAAGCATAGAGACTTGCAACAATAAGTAAAAACAAGCATAAACCAGCAGATCATTACTGGCATTCAAGACTCTGAGTTGGCAAGTAGTCTCTAGCCATGTAACCAATAAATAAGAATAATATAATATCCAAACCATCCTACTAAAAGGTAGAGCAGTGAGTCACTAGTGAAGCATCACCCCAGTTCTTGTTATCTAGGCTAAACTCTGAAGCCCTAGAATAAGCTAGAAACTTAAAACAAGGTGATTGATGAAAAAGGATTCAAGAAATACATATAAGTTAATCATGTCTAAACTTTTTAAGTCAAATTGTTCAAGATTTGAGAAGAATATCAAAGACAAACCTCATTCGTTGTTCCCTCATCATCTTTATATCCAGTTTGGTCTAGAATCTCATGAATAGCTGTCAGATCCACTCTTGAAATAGCTTCACCAAGTGGGGATAGAGGTGGTAATGCATCATTATGACGAATACCCATCAAAACATGAGATGGAACCTACAGAATATGACCCTTAGATTAGAAATAAGAACCTCAAAATTCAGCATCCAATTGGAAACCAAATCAGCTCCCTTGATTGATGATCAGGGTTTGATATCAATTTTAGGACAAGAGCTTCTGGCCATCTGTTATCCAAAATTGTACATTAATATTTATATGCACGCATCTGTACATACATACACAAGAAAAAACTATCTTATGCCAAATTTCAAGGAAACAACGTGAGTAGTAGGAAGAGAGAAAGGATGAAATGCTTTAATACTCGAGTAAATGATTCTAGAAAGGATGAATACTTGAGAAATAGAAGAGTGTCTGACCTCAGTTTCCTTCTGAAGAGTAGTCAAAGCAGCCACTAATGATTTGGGGTTTGGTCTTTCTCGAGGCTCATACTGTAAACAACGAGATGCTAAACGTACTAACTCAGTACCATCATCATTCGAAAATTGCCCTTCCAAGCAGGAATCCATCAGCATCTGAATATTCCTGTCCCGTATCAGGTCTAAAGCCTGATAGAAATTATTCAAGCATTAGAATCACAATCATATACAATATAGTGGGAAGGAACCATAAAAAGAAATACAAAGTCAATTATGTTATAACATTTCCTTTGGTCACTTACCACAAGCTTGACAAAATATGCAAATGCAAAAATTATGCAACTCTAGTAATCAGAAGCTAACCAACCAATGACGGTCAAACATGAAAGTATGAAAAAGAACATGAAAAAGTGATTCACATGGATTTTGATCAAGAATTTTTTATCATTAATGATGACCACACTATTAATATAGAAAGAGAAGTACAAAAGAACTTCCACTGATGAAGCCCAATAACAGTTCCTTTTTTTCAGGATGTTAAAATTCAAAAGAAAATTACTCAGAACAGAAATGGAGTTCCAGTTGTAAGAAATACAGAAGCATAATTATTACAGGTACATTATTTGCAACAAGTATGATAACAGTGAGAAAAAGAGATAATAAAATGATAAAAGATAACCCAATCTTAGTATAAATTGACAAGAGTAAGCCAAAGCCAATATCCTCAAAATCTTCAAAACCAAAGCCAATAAGAACAGGAGAACTTTATAGCCAAAAGTAAAGTCCTGTATAGCTGTATAACTTGTACAATGTTCTTATAATATATAAAGAAGAAAATTTTATTGATTATCTATTGAAGACCCAGCGGAGAAAACTATTGGTATTAGTAGAAGGAGGTCATCAGCTTGTTCATATTACCAACTCTAGATTGAAGAGCACTTTATGCAGAGCCAGTCCCAGTAAAAAATTCAATAAGGTATATAAAAGGAAAGGAAATCAAGGTAAATAGTTGGCCTTCTGATCAGTTATTAGATAGGAGAGTGACAAGCAGAATAAATATTTTCTTGTTTCGTAATTGGATGTTTCAGATGTGGAAAATAAAAAGGGTTCGGACAAGCACCATTAACTCAAGAGCTAAGTCAGCAGATATTACAGATGCCAGTGTGCTTTCATAGGACAATTTTTTCAACCAAGAAAGTATAGAACTTGGCCCTTGTAAGATAAGTCTGAAAACAAATAGAATGATGATAGGAATTGGGAAAACAAGGTTGAAACATAATTGGCTCAATGAAAAAGATGAAAATGTAATGCCAACGGATGAAATTCGTCTAATAAACAATAGATATAAATGTGCTAGTAGAGAAAGAGATTCAAATTTGTAAGAACTAAGAAGTTGGGTTATTCTTCCTAGGTGGAGAACTTGCAAGAAAAGGGGCTTTTTTTAGAAATGGAAGAAAGAGAAAGAGGTAAGGAGGAAATATAAACTGATGAATTGAGTTTGTATAAGTTTCTGGTAAGGGGCTTAGGGAGATCAGAGTTTTAGTCTAGGTATGGTGACTGTTAGAGTTGGGAGCTCTGGTAGTAGATGGGGTTTTTGAGACATTAAGGCAAATTTTTGGTAAGAAGAGGTTCTAGATGTTACAGAATCTGAATTGGAATGGCTAGGTTCTTTGTTTTGGTTGTCAAACCCTGGTTTTAGATTTTTTTTGGTGTGTGTGCGTGTGTTCCAGTGGGATTGATGCAATTGAATATGTAGAATTTTGTTGAGGCTGGTTAGTTGAGGCTGACCATTCTGTTACAGCTATGTACTTTAACTTTTGAAATTAATAAAATTTTTGCTTTCACTGATCAAAAAAATGTAGAATTTTGCTTAGTAAGGGGTGTGGGTGAAGAGAGTGCTCTTTTCCTTTGCTGAGGGTGATATCTTATCGCCGGGCTTTGTTTTTCTTTTTTTTTTTTTTCTTTGATGGATAACAGAATTATAATAACAAGAAAAAAGAATGTACAAGTGATACAATGCCCCAGATACAAGCAGTAGCATTTGGGACAAATAAGCCCGTAACCCAATACACTTGCTCCCTATTACCCCTTGTCTGGCTAAAGAGTCAGCCAAACCAGGCTTTGTAATTCCTCTAACTTTTTCTTTACCATGCAAGAAAAAAAATGTTGATAAGAAAATAGAYTTTGGAACAGAAACATTGTTTTTTATACATCTACACAATGTCATATMGTTCAATATCTWTTTTTATTKCTTGCCAAAAGATCTTTTACCTCATGTCCGTCCTGTAAATTATTTTTTCAGTACATTTTCTGTTAGTACAAATTCTCTGGTTATTATTGCACCAAAAAGAAAAATAAAAATATTCCTTCCATATCCCCCAACAAATAAGTATTACTACAGCTAACCACCTTGTAGCAACTGACAACCTAGACTATCATGCAGTTGGCAGTTGGTAGGGGCACTAGCAAGCTTGGTTGATCACCTAGACAAAGCTCTTATTCACAAAATATCTCTCTATCTGATCAAACAATGCCCATCTCAGTATGAAAACAGTTGGGTGTTTTTGACACTAATTTAATGCATTACCATGTAATAAAGACTTYTATTAATAAAGTGCCAAATTGATTTTTTTTATTACAGAAGTTTAATGGTGATGGTTATGCTACAAAAAACTCCTCTCTATTAGTCCCACCTCACAAAAAGGAACCATAGCTGATTAAAAAAGAATCCTCAACTGAAAAGTATTYCCAAAAGTCTCCTGCATTGTTCCCTTCCCAAAACCCAGTTCTGCCCCATAACTGATGTGTTTCCATGTAGCAAAGTTCGTATTATGGCCCCACAATACAAATACCAAGGTTATCTATCTCTCTAAGCTACAATAGACCCTCTACCCTTGTCCAACTTTCTTCCATTGCATTTTTAAGTATTGCATTAATTGATGTCAATTTCAGGAAAAAAATGATTTTAGGACTACAGTTTCTTGATCATTCATTGAAATATTGGTTCCGTCACAGCTCATCCCAGCACCCATCTATTATGCATAGTCATAAAGATAGAATATAAGACATCTAAGTGCAGGTCATTTTCGATTTGTTTTATCAGAGTGGCTTTATTAGGAAAGGAACCAGAAACTTACATGGCTTGGAGGTATATGTTTTCCACTTAGAAGATCAAGCAAAAGGGTGCCAAAGCTGTATATTACACTCTCAGGTGTTACTCTTCCTACAGCATAAAGACAAGAGGTCAAAACCATGTATGATGTACATAATTCAAATGATACTTCAATATGAGAAGCCATATGAATTAGCAAATGAGAGACTCCACCTATGTGAAATCAATTTGCCATAAAATTAGGAAATGAGAGATTTACCAATTAGATTGGTCGAAATCATGTCATTGCACTTAAGATCACATTAAGTAACTAGCAATAGCAACAGTCATGCACAATACCATATAAAAGAATAAGATAGAAGAATAACATGTAGTTCTAACATAAAGCAAGTTGCTAACATCATTACATGAACTTGGAATTCCAGCAACTTATACCAAACATTACATTGCATGAATTGGAGATCTTGTAATATTGAGCTAATATTTTTCCAAGGAAATAGCTAGAGCTTGCACATTATATGGAGCCACCCCGAATGCATGGCCAATAGGTTATAATCCTTTTTTCCAAGTTACTACATTAAGTGTGGGCAAAATGCATACAGAGCACTATCCACCATGCACATATTGGCACAATTAGTCATACTCATAACCAAAACTCCTGCTACCTTTGCCCAAGGCACTTCCAATTTCAGACCCAAATCCCTAATTCACTTTTCAAGATAAATATGATCTCCACCTGACTCTAAACCTCTGAACCTCTAGACGCCAGATCCTCTAACCTCTGTATTTATGTTACTTAAATAAGGCAAGGAATGATTGAACAATATGTTGAATGCAAAATACACACTAAAAGTGAAGCTGTTGGCACAACATGGAACCCATGATCAGTAATCCAGATACCCAAGATCTATGTTCCACTTGCTCCATCTCCCTTCAATATCTTCAACACAATTACTATTCTATCCCTGATCAAGAAATACCACTTTTAACTTCTTTCAGAGGGTATAGAAATGGTGGATTGAAGCCCACCAGTCCCAAACCTCATCAAACTCAATTTTGATTGCCATAGCATGGGTAATCCAGGAAATTCTGGTATGGGAATTTTCAGACCCTCAAAAGTTCTTTTAAGTCCTTCCAAATGCCACATGTGAGAGCAAAGCAAAGCATCATCTACAGGATTTGATAAAAAGAGCATGGCTTCTACTCCTTATGAAACTAACTGAATCAATGTGATACCATGCACACTGAAATTGTTTACCATTTAACATAGAATTCTATTCAACAGGAGCTTGAACAGGAAAAGTATCTAAATCCACTACCGTCTAGCATGGTATGAATAAGCAAAGTACCAAATAAACACTGGAGGTAAGTGCATCTGAAAGCATTATCAATTAAAATATTGAGGGATGCTAGAATCATTTCTTTGGGATCTATCCCACCAATAGGGACATCAATTATTATTAATGCATCACTCTGGTCTCCAGGACCACCATGTCCACTTAATCATGACTTAAAAATGGAGCAATTGGCATAGTTGATAGAAGAATTTCAAACTTTCCAACTTAACCATGAGAGTGAACACCATGAAAATTTACACATAGCTTCACCGAAGTTATTTCTTTGGAATCTACCAAACTAAAAGGGAAGGTACCAACTAGCTTGCTGGCAAGGTCTTTGGATAGCAATAATGGAGACTTGGGATTGAATCCTGCCTTCACCAGGGTCTGAGGGGTTTTGGAGTTTGGGGGAGGGATACCCCCCAACGTGTAGACCATTTGCCTACCAAAAAAAACACTAAAAGGAATCTCACTTTAAACCAATGCAAAAATGAAGCAGTTAAGTCAAACTAACAACTAATGCAAAAAAATAAAAGAGATAGCAGGGACATTTTTCCAATTTCAAATTTCACGTTAAAATTTAAAAGTTTAAAACTGGATGTAGTTTTTGCATATTATTTAGTTTAGGTTCAAAGGCCAAATAGATAGCAAGTCCATGATGTAACCCTAGGAAGTGGCAACGGAGTGACTGATAAGTAGATGCAAATCCTTGATACAGTTCAATAATGTGACATCACAAGCAGGGAATGAAAGCTATTTGTTCATGAAAATTCTGTAATAAGGTTATGTGCTATTGATTTGTTCATGATACAATTCAAAGGCCAACAAAAAGCATGAATCTTGGGGGGATGGGCTTGCACCAAAGCTCCTTGAAAGGAACAAAATGGGCCTGGGTTGAAGAGCATAAAGACCTAAAAAACGAGGAACAAGTGAAGACACCTTTCAGTTGGGGGCTCAAACACGTTTGTCAAACACAAAAAAAAAAAAAATCAAAAGAAGCTTTCCCCAGAACATCCAACAACAAAACCAAATCCCCAACCTTACTATCCCTCAATCCCCTACTAAAACCGAAGTCCCAATTGAAGTTCACTGGAAGCAAAGGTTGAGTTAGGAACTTTGAAATAAGTGCCCCTTTAAGCAAAGAAATAGAGTACAATGAAGGGAAACAATCTTTCAAATAAGTGTCCCTTTCAAAGTCCCTAGAGCAGACATCATACGTAACATGATTTAAGAGAAGAGGAAGAATGGTACCAATAGCTTTCCATGGCGAAGCTAATATTGCCCTAGCAAAGATACCAACATCCCAGACATTACTTGAAACCCCCATGAACGCTTGCCACCACCTTGCTCCACAACCTTTCCCCCTCAAGAGGCCATCTCCACAACTACTTCCCCAATAGATCTATATTCTTCTTTGCTAAATTCCCATTCCCAAACCACCCTCCTTACTTCTAGACACAACCTCCCACTTTATCAAGTGATCCTTTTTGCTCTCTCCTGGCTCCCAAAGGAAATCCCTCATCAATTTTTCTAACTTGCAAAATTCATTTTGGGGGATCCTACGAACAGGTAGAAAATATATTGGAGGGTTAGAAAGTGTGCACTTAATCAGGGTAATTCTACCTCCCAAAGAAATATAATTCCTCTTCCAGGCTGCCGGTTTCCTTGCAAACTTTTCTACAATTGGGTTCAAAAGCTTGTAGCCTTCAGACTTGCACCTAGAGGGAGTCCTAGGTAAATTTCCCTATAAATTAGTAATTGTACGCTCTTATTATCCTTTTAATAAAATTCATGGTTATTGATCCAAAAAAAAACTCTTCCCCTTTCTGTTTGCTTTCTGAAAATTTCTTTTGCAGAGCCTATTAAGCCACTCATCCACTCTTCACTCAAAATGAAATGGCCCCTTTTGTATTACATGATTTGCCATGAGAGTTGAGTCCATGAATAATCACATCCAGCTTCACCCAAATCTATATGTACCACTAAGGAAGGACTGAAGGAACTCTATTTGTCACTTTATGAATGCAAAATACCTATGGTTTGAAAGGGGAACATGGACATACCAGTTCTCAGATACTCTGGCGGGGTAAATGCCAAATTTGTGCTATAACTTTTCCCATCTCTACTATTCTTCATCAGGCCAAAGCATGAAAGTCGAGGATTACCATCCTGTCACACAATGTAAGAATGTAAAATAATCTTTTTAACTGCTAAAAATGGTTATGCATAAAAAGGTAATAACAACATGAAGAATGAAAAATAAACTCACTGCCAAAAAAGAAGATTGCAAATTGAAGAATGATAAAATACTCACATCGTCAAATAAAACTCTATAAGCATTAAGATCATGATAAAGGGCACGCCCTTTGTTGGAACAATATTCAAGTGCCTCAGCAAGATGTAAAACCACCCTTAATCTCATTGCCCATTTCATAGGTTGTGTTTCCCCTAGGACAAAAAAAGCAATCATAACTATAGTACATGAAATAGAAAAACAACCACCACATGGAATAACCAAGCAAAATGAAAACAAATGAATAAATTTAGTGGCCATTAAAACACAACCAGATTTGAGGCTTCTAATTCTCATAAGTGTCAAGAAAGAGAGTGCTCTTTAGTTCACCTTAAATTTAAGAATGTCATGGAGATGATAAACCAATAAAGCATAGAGAATGTGATCCTATAGTGTCATGTGAAGTATAAAGCTGAAAATCTGATAGACTAGAATCATTCATATTACTAGTGTGAAGTATAAACAAAATGATGACATAGGGATAGTACAATACAGAAAAGGTCAAATTTATGAGCTTGCCTCTGTGGAAATACTGATACATGTAGACATGTCTAAAAGTAGACCAGCAAATCAAGAAAACAGCAGCTTAATTTGATGTTCAACCAATGTTGGCATGCAGCAAATCAGGAACAGTGCAAGTGCCATGAAACCCTTTAAATCACAAAAAGACAACGTGCAAACCCTTTAAGGGCTCCATAGTACTCACTTTTTCGATGATAGCATTGATTTACAGAGATTTTTGTTCTGACAAAATTATACAGAATGATAATTGATAAAATAGAATTTTCTGAAAACATGCAAAGGCACACAAGGCAAACAATATGCTCACTTATATCAGGAACTTACAATGGAATAGGTGTTTAGCAAGCGTGTCATTGGACATATATTCTGCCACAAGCAATCTCTCATCACCTTCACAACAACAACCAAGTAAATTTGCCAATCTATGGTTGCGGAGCTGACCAACAGATCTTGCTTCTTCCTAAATTTGCAAGAGAAAGTTTCCAAGTTATGTTTTGCATTGATGAAAAATCAGAGCATACATAGAAAACAACACATATTGCATGAGACTGAAGAAAATTAGAGCTAAAAGAAAGATTGCTTTTATTGTAACAATAAGAATTTTATTGGTTATGACAAAAAATGAATATTTACATATAATTTTTCAAAGTCCAGTATAGGCTAGTTTTGCTACCCATCCCACATTTTCAATATACTGTTTACAAGTGTCCCCAAAAAGCTAAAAAAGACTAGATGAGATTGTTAATATACCGAACCAGTTCCAAAAGATCAGAATTGCTGCTTTAATGACTGTGGCACATAAAGCCTGTCTTATGAATAAAAGAGATCAATACAGCCTTGTACATTTATATGTAACTATACCATTTTTATCTTCACTCAACTGGACCTCATCCTCGTCATAGACAAGGAAAGATAATGAAGCAGTAAGCGTCAAAGGATGAAGAACAAGATACCATCTCATTTCTGTTACAGAACTTCCACAGGAGAAAACCAAAAATTCTTAAAATAACTAAATTCCCTTAATTACATTTAAATCACATAATCTCAATATAATTGGATAACTAACTAAGAGAACATTTCAAATGGACCTGGCCTGAAGGCCCAAGTCCAAATCAGTTTAAAATGCTACTCGAGCCAACCCCCCCCCCCCCCCCCCCCCNATATAAAAAATAAAAGAAAAGAAAACCCATGCATAAAATTCTCAACAATAATAAAGTGAATGCAGCATGATAGTTGAATAAGAACAGTGAATGCTTTCAGCAAATAAGAGTGAACAAAAAACTTCAAGTATCTACAAAGAGTAATGTACAGGCTTCTTCTTATGCAACTACATATAAGTAACATGCATCAGATTTTGTTTATGGCTTCAAAAACAATATTACAAAATACTAAAGAGGAGAAACTTAATGATAAGAAGTAAGAGAGATTTACCAAGAACTGCCGGGCATCAGGCCAAGCCATTCTATTAAAGCGCTTGACAGCAATACGCCTCTGATTTTCAAGCTTTCCTTTATAGACAATATTTGGAGCTTTTTCCCCATGTTCAGAAACAATGTTCTCTACAGCAAAGCCAGATGTAGAAAGCCTGAGCTGGTCAAAAGTGTATTCACGGAATGCAGGCAAATCATCAACCTCACTTTTATCCTCATTCTCTGCAAGAATGGGAACAAGTCATCAAAACCATTCTTCTCATTCTCTGAGACAACCACACGCATGCGCACACACACAGAGGCATGACACCTCTCCGTGCCCTGAAACCCAAAAAAAAAAAAGAAAAGAAAAGAAAAAGAAATAGTACAGTCCGTCTACTCACCAACATCAGGAGCCTCAAGTACTGATCCCTTAAATTGTGTACCCCAACAGCATTCCGTAAGTTTTGAGCATTGACAGCCCATCCCAATGTATTTTAACTCTGAAACTTTAAAATGCCACTGTAGTCACCACATACCAACCAACTTTTAAGTTGTGCACTTGATCCATTCAGTTTAACAGACTAATCCAACTGGATCGTCCTACAAACAACTTCCCGTCAACTATGTTCTTCCGATCATTTCAATCTGTGACAGAGTTCGTAGCACATTAATATATCAAAGACCCGGCTACCCAGTACCCTCAAACCTGGTTACTGGCCATTACAATATCTAAAGCAAGTTCTGAAAATGCTGCATTCCCAATGTAATTTATCCGAGATAAATTACACAGCGCGAGACAGCACCAGTTAATCCAAAAATAGGAAATTATCCGAGATAAACTCAAACTTCCTAAGCGAGTTAACAATTTATATATATTTATCAATCTCCTTTGCACTGAAGTCCAAACTTCACGAGATTTGGAGCAATATGTTTGCTCTTCATTGATATTTCAGTAAAGTTCATTCACGAATGTAAAGTTTATGTTACAAAACAAATAATTTCCAAATAATTTGGAGCAATATGATTGAATACGAAGTTCAATCAATATCTAGTTTTCTCCTCTTTAAAAGGTACCATTAGTCAAATAATTTCCAAAAATGAATCATAAACTAAAAAGGGGGGAAAAATAAATATTGGACAATTCAGAGCAAAAAATACCTAAAACGCTCGCCCTATTGGTCAACTCTGTTGTGACAAAACCTCATAAACCAGTAAACCATTCAAACCAGAATTTCTTCCTTTTTTTCTTCTTCTTCCTCTTTTTCTGGGTTTGCACTCAAAGCAGAACTAAATACTCGGTAAGAAAAGACCAGCTCTGCATTTTCAAACCTTCCCTTTGTTAAGTCGCACATCCCAGTCCACCGTTACATAAGTTTGCTACATGCTTCTGATGTCAATAAATTCGCATAAAACTAAAAAGAACAACATGCTTCCGATTTAAAGGCCACTAGTTCCCGCGGCAGAACACGTCCTAATCGACATAAAAAAAAAAAAAAAAAAATCCAGGAAAAAAAAGGACAATAGATATCTCACAACCCGATCGACCCTTCAATTCTTCGAAAATTCACAACACTTGCCGTACCTCGACTTGGCCAAGTCAACGATTCGAAACCACGAATCTCGATCCAAAAACGAGCTTTCAGAAGCTAAAGACTTGGTCCTACCGAACTAACTCCAAAGCAAGAGGTCATACTGAACTAGCTCGAAACGAGATCATTACACAAGACTTCGGGTGTGCTCTGTAAAGAAGAATCTTCAGAAGTTCGAGAGAAAAGAAGAAATAAAAGATCAGATCTCTTAAAATCCTCTCCCATCTTACTTGGCCGTGTCTATTCCTCTTTTTCCACCGACATGCAGCAATTTTTTTATTGTTTTCTAAACTTTTTTCTTAAAACGTAGTTTCCCTGATTTTGTTTTTTATCGAAAGAGAAAATATATTATATAGAATTCATCAGTGGAGCAGAATGGAGGGTTAAGTTCAGGACTTAAATTCCCATTTCCCACGCCCCCACTCTCCCCCGCAGTCATTTCGATTTTATAATTCTTCATCTTTTTTAAGTGAAATGTAGAATTTTGCTTTTGCTTTGCGGATTGATTTGCGCCTGAAAATTCGGTTTGTTCAGTTAAAAAATCGAACCGCATAAACTGAAATATTCTTTTCTTCTAACCGAAACTGTAAAAGGTAAATCGAACCGAAATCGAGTTATCATAGAAATGTTATTTGGTAATGGATCGAATCTGAAATGGACAAAGATGAAACAATTCCGAATTAATCGATAATATAAAACAGATCCATGGCCGAAACCATTCGGGTCTCATCCAATTAAATGCCAATTATACTTAATATCTAGAATTACCTATGTAGAGGAAAATTTATAATGCTGGAAAGACATTATACGGAAAAGGCTTTAACCAATTATACTTAAGTTCTTCCTCTGTCATGCCGCATCTTAGTCCAACCATAAGTTAATAATTTGGAATTACATTTTTTATAATATAATTTTAATAAATAGAAAGTTATTTAAATCCTGAGAAATAAGTATTTTAACCAACAACTAAGCTTGATTATGGTTTTCAAAACTGGACCATATCGATTGATCAGACCAGAAAAACAGAGAATCGGACAGGTATTTAGTTTTGTTTCATCCTAAAATCGTTTTTTAATCAAAGATCATTGAATTGATCAATAACCTGCTGATCAGAACAATTGAATTATCAAACCGTCAATTTAGATAATGAATTTTTATTTTTATTTTTTTTTAAGTCAAAATAAATTATCAGTTCAAACCGGATGATGGGAGGATTCAATTAATCCTGAAACTGGTCCAGACTCCTATAACAGTTTTCTATACGATCTAGTTTTAAAAACCTTGAGCTTGATATAAACCTAAGTCAATTAATGCATCACCCCCTTCCCAAAAAGAGAAAAAATGTCTAACAATTTAAATAGTGAAAAGCACGTGATGCAACTGAATAGCCCTAAAAATAGAATAAAACAGCAAATAAACTCATGGGAGTAGAACCAACCAGTGAATAGAAATCGAAAGTTAGAGAAACTTATTGATATGTATTGTCAAATCACAATGGCAAGCTAAAACTAATATCCAAACATGGACGACTTTATACATGCCTTGCTCTGATTTCTAAAACATGATGTGTGAAATAATAAGAATTCATTTTGAGCAATAACAATCATGCGTGCTTTTTCCATCCAATTATTGGCCAAGGTTTTGAGCATGTTGACTACAAGGTAAATGTCTAAATGATAACAATTTTTTACTACAGTTTTGAACCCAATGAATATGAAGTATGAAATTGACGTGGCATTGTAAGGTTAAAGTGAAAAAATAAACATCATTAATAGTTGCCCGTACAAAGTCGCCTTTGGGAGCAGATTCAAAGTCGCCTTTGGATGAGATGGAGTGTATCTCAGATTTGACTTGCAGATCCCCATACTAATGGGCCGAAGTGAATTGTTTCCAAGGTGAAAACAAATGCTTCCAACTAGTCATTGCACATCTTTTAAGATGTTCCCCATGTGCGGTTGTAGTTGCTTGTTCTCGAAGACTTGTAAGGAGACCAAGTAGGGGTGTCAACATTATTCGAAAATCTGATTTTGAATTTGATATTTAATATAATTGAATTGAATTTAAATAATTCGAATATTTAATCGATCGAATTCAAATATTCTATTCGTATTAACTAGTTAATTGGATTCCAATTCGGATATGACCTGATTCGATTCGATAAATATCCGAATTCGATAAATATTTAATTATATAATATATAAAATATTTTATATAATTTATATATATAATAATTAAGTTATATAAATAATTTATATATTTATATACGTTATATCAATAAAATATTTATTTTATATATTTATTAATTATCTAAAATATTTAATTAATCAAATTCGAATCAAATATTTGAATATTTAATCGGATTCAAATTCAGATATTAATTTTCAATATCCGTCGGATATCGAATCGAATTCTGATATCAAATTTTCTAATCGGATTCGAATCCGGATATTGCCTGATCCGATTTGAATTCAATCCGCCTTTGGCATGAGATGGAATGTATCTTACGTTTGACTTGTGGATCCCAATACTAATTGACCGGATTGAATTATTATCATGTGAATAATAAACATTAAATTTGATAGGAAATTATAATTAATTTAAGAACTAGGAAGGACTCATGCGATGTATGAATTTTGTGTGAAAGTTAAATAATAGAAATACATAACATTTACCAAATTAATAATTTTTACAAAACAAAAATAACGATAATTAATTTCAGATTTTCACATAGGGATGTTCATCAAATTAATGAAATTGACCAAACTAACCCAAATTCGTCACTTTCTAGTATTTTCGATCGTCTTCGGTTTAGCAATTTCCCAACCCAACCAATTCATGTTAGTTTCAGTTTGGCCATTTGTAAATTGACCAAAATCGGACTATCCCAATCATAAAAATATATATACATTAATATTTTATATTTTAAATATAATTTTTTAATACAGGAAAGTGGGAAAATTCCCATATTTCTTAGTCTAAAATATTTTGTATTATAAACTTAAATTTATTCTTCCAATAATATAATTGTATTCTTTAAATGTAATTTAATTTTTTTAAGTTTAAATCTTTTGAACCAACCAACCAAACTAAAAATCGGCCCAAACCAATACCAATGTTTTCAACCTGCCATTGACCCTACTGGTTGAACTATTCAAACCGCCACCCGACTTGATTCTAGGTCTAGTTATGTTGAAACCCGCCCTTTGGTAAAAAAAAAAAAAAACATTGACTTGGTAGAAAACACCAACTGTTGACCCGTTTGACCCAATCACTAGGTCTAATGCATGTGCAAACTTTCAAAGGCCATAACTTTGCACTCTGATGTCTAATTGAGGTGATCTTTTGTTTTGGTTTTGGGTAACTTTTCAAGATCTATACGTCCTAAGGTGTCATGGGTGCCTTACCCCGATCTGAACCGCCTAGTGAACACTCCTAATTTCAACTAAATTGATAATATCTAACAAATAAGAATTTAATCTCCAATAATTATTGAAAATTTATAGCGGGAATACAATAAATAACTAATAAAACTCCAATACCTCTAAGTTATTTAATCTACATTCGCTATTTCAATAATATTTAAAAAAATCAATTATTTATATTTTATATTCTTATTATCAAATACTATTAAATCTATTATTTATATTTTAGCATTATTTAAATTTTTCAATAATATGTGAAATATTTAATTTATTTTTTTATTTAAATTTTATTTTGTTTAAAGTTATTACGCAATATTAAATGTTTTGTTATACAATTATTTTGCTATTTTTAATATTTTTTTATTTAAAATAGTTAGTTATTGAAATATTTAAATAATATTTTGTTATATAATTTTAATTTGTATTGTTTGTATAACATTTAAATAAATTTTATATTTTTAAAATATTATTTAGTTATTAAATTGAATAATCCATAAAATTATAATTTATATTGTTATTACATAATTTCATTATGAATTTCATAAGAATATACAATTATTAATAATATGAATAGTATTAAATCTACTATGATGATTTTTTATGTTTTTAATAAATATTTTAAAGTTATTACATAATTTCATTATAATATTTAAATAATTGCTATTTTTTTAATTGAAAAACTTTCTTTACATGGGTATAGATGAAAAGTGGGGAGAGGGAAAATAGGAATTAGAGATAATTTAGGAGATAAATAGGAATTATATATAGTTAGAGATAATTTAGGAGAAAGTGGGGGATAGTTAGGTTCCTAGTAAAAAATGAGAGGGAAAAGAGAGATAAGCCATGCTAGCATGCAGACTCCATGGGCTTTTAAAGGCAATTTTGAACCCCCTTTAGAATTGCTTTGTTGGGGTAATGGAGAAAGGAGATGCCATCTGACGTGGCATGTTTTACTTTAGTATATACTAGTGGGGACCCATGCGATGCACGGGCTTAAGTAGGCCTAATCCGAAACCAATCAACCAAAGATTTTGCATAGGTTAGGCTTGAGTTTTCAACTTCAAGTTGGGCTTAGGCCAAAAAACTCAAGCCTAACCTAAATTCAGGTTGGGCTTGGGTTGAGGCCTTGGGTAGCCCAAGCCCAATTCAACCAATTTGAGCCTACCCAACATTTTGTGATATGCATATCTACATATTATCAATATATTCTATCTAGAAATTGGGCTATAAAGCTCAACACGTCCAATCACAAGCCCAACTCAAGATATTTATTGGGTTAAAGTTCGGGTTAGGCCTACTTGCTAAGAGAAAAAGTATTGGTAATTTTCAATAATTACTGATAATTTACTAATATATAACAAAAATAGAATGCCAATAATTAATGATAATTTACTAATTCGGGCCCGAGTTTACCAACTTAGGCACAACTCGATCTTAACCTAACATCTTGGTTAGGACTTGGGCTTGGGCGAATGGGCACATTGAGCTTTATAGCCCAATTTCTAGGTAGAACATATTGATAAAATTGGATTGGGTCGAGTTTAAACTACCCGAGGCCTCATCCAAACCCAACCTGAGTTTAGGTTAGCCTTAAATTTTTTGGCCTAAACCCAGCTTGAAGTTCAAAAACTCAAGCCCAACTTGTGCAAAAGCTTCGGTTGAATTGAGTTGGGCTCGAGTTAGGCCCATCCAAGTACCCTACCCAAGGTACACTCATATCTCTTTTTGCCTTAAATTATTTTCATAAAACTCATGCATCGTAGGGTCCCCACTAGTAATTAATAGCACCAATTTTAATTTATAGTTACTAACAACAATATTAATAACTAAGGATAGTAATATTTTATGGTATTTTTTAATTATTCACAAAAATAGTTAATAAT